AGTGCTTTGCTAAAAGTGCTACCACCTTTAAAGATTCCCATTGTGGTAGATACTGCCTGAATGTCTCTAATTCTTCACCTTTCTGTGCACCCATTTTGCTACATGGCTTTCACTAATAAGTACTGATGAGGTTCAATCTATAACCTTGCTCTTTTTGTGTATTTTTTTCTTGTAGCAAAATATACATAACATAAAATTCATTATTTTAGCCATTTTTGAGTGTACAATTCTGTGGCATGAAGTACATTCACATTATGCAATTATTACTACCATCCATCTTCAGAACTCTTTTGTCTTCCCCAACGGAAACCCTGTATCTATTAAATATTAATTACCAATTCCTGTCCCTGGAGCAACTCTAGTTCCTGGCAATCACTACTCTACTTGCTATGAATTTGACTACTCTAGGAACCTAGTAGAAGTGGAATCATACAATATTTGTCCTTTTGTGACTGGCATAATTCACAACGTAATGTTTTCAAGTTTCAATCATGCTCTAGCATGCAACAAAATTCCCTTAAGACTGGATAATAGTTCATTGTACATATGTACCACATTTTGTTTATCCTTTCATCTGTTGATGGACACCTGGGACACTTCAACTTCTGGCTTTTGTGAATAATGCTGCTACTGAACAAGGGTGTGAAAATATCTGTTTGAACCCAAGCTTTCGATTATTTGAAAACTAAATTCTCTTAATTCTTTGGGTATGTACTTAGAGAGGAAATCTCTGGATCACATTGTAATTCTATGTTTAAATTTCTGAACAATCACCATACCATTTTCTATAGCAGTTCCCTCATTTGATATTCTCACCAACAATGCAGAAGTGTTCCAAATTCTCTATATCCTTTCCAACACTTGTTAATTTCGGGTTTCATTTCATTTTGTTTTATTTTTCCAGCTTAATGGGTATAAAGTGATATCTCTTCGTGATTTGGATTTGCCTTTATACTCTTACTCATGAACCTGGCTGGTTTTGTGACTAATTTTAGTCAATGAAATACTAGCAAAGTGACTCATGAATAAGATTGAAAACTTATTGAAAAAATAAGATTAGACATGTCTCTTACCCTCTGCTAGTAATGAATGGTCCCTGAGTTACAATGGTTCAACTTAACAATTTTTAAACTTTATGATGGCTTTAGCAAGGTATCAAATGCATTTTTGACTTAAAATATTTTTCACTTACAATAGGTTTATTGGAATGTAACCTCATCATAAGTCAAGGAGCATCTACACAGTGGGAAGAACATACTCAGGCTTGCCTGTTGAAGAAAGGGATATGAGGAACGAACCAAACCACTCAAGTCAGCCCAGATGAGGACATCCTAGGTAAGGCAACCAGTAGCTGACCCTCAACCAAACATGTGAGTGAGCTCACCAAGATGGGCAGCACCTCCAAGCTAATTCTTGTTGGCTGCAGAGGCATATGCAAGCCCAGCTGAAACCACCTAAGCATAGCCATGTCAGTCAATCCGAGTTCCAATCAGCAAAACCCTATAGACTCAAGGCTAAATAAATTGTCATTTTGTTTGTTTATTTTGTAGTATTACTGTGAACCCTGGATAAGTCACACACAATCTGTGGTAGGAAACCAAAAATTAAATAATTACATGAAAGCCTGCTGCTAAATAATAAATTAAGGTGGAAATATGGTGGTAAGAATGTGACAAAAGGAAAGATCAAGTTGGTTAATATTGCTGCAGTACAGAGGACAGACCAGAAGAATGAGGATGGAAAAGCAATCTTGCTCTTTTGAGAAAGTATGTTTTCCTGTCTCCATTCACTCTGTCAAACCATGGACAGTGTGTTTGGCTCCAGAAACCCTTTTCTAAAAATCTATTAGCTGAGAAAGCAAAGAAACAAGGACATTGGTTTGTATCCACGTAAGATCAGGAAGATCACAAGTCCAGGCATAACAGTCTTTCTAACAGGCAGACTACAAAATTCTTACTGGCTACACAGCTATTATTTTCACTTACATTCCAATCCTTGTGACTCTGGTCATCTCCAAACTTTGTTCTATTTTATACCTGGCCTACTGTAAGTCTCTGTATTTCCTACGTGATCTTTGTCAACATTTGAGTCAGAACTTTTGGTATGGAATTATAACTTCCATTGGTTTTCTCTCATTGAGTTTCTCAGAAATGCAACTTCTCAGAAAATACAAACTAAACACAACTGGGATGTTGTGGATGACACACCTAGCTTGCTATTAAAAATTGTTTTCTTTCACTATGAAAACGCAAGTTCCAAGAGTTTTAAACACAGGGCTAGAAACAATAATAATCTCCACTCCCAACCTTTGCTTTCTTTCTTTGTGATATTTTGCACAGTATTCTTATAGTTGTCATTAGCATCAGTATTTTCATTGGTCGTGAATTGAGCTGTAGAGCACACTCACAATGAAGCCAAGGGAACATAATGCCAATTTTTGTTCTGTGATCAATTTGAAATGGCTTGCCGTTTGGGTCCTGACTGAGACAGATTAACAACATCTTACCACAAAATGCTATTGATCAATCTACTGTTTAAAAACAATTACCATGGAAATGTGTTATTTCTGATACCTCATCTCCCTTTATTTAACTTTATAGTCTAACATTATTTTCATAAATAGACACCCTTTTCCAGCAATGTCAAAGCACACAATACTACAGGGACTTTATTAAAATGCATTTAACGGTGGTAAACGTGCCAACAGAACACTTAGTTTCATAAAGAAAAAAACATGAAAAGAAAAAAAGAATAAAATCCGGACCTAATTTCCATACACAAATATCATCTCAAAGATTGTTTTTTTCAGTTTGTATAGATTATGTCATGAGAAATATATCAAAAGTATTATTTGACATGTAAAAAAGAAATCTGGTTGTATCTTATTCACCTTAATCTATATAGCAAGAATTTTTAACATGGGAAGCTCGAGCCACCCAGGAGACCATCTATGGAATTCAGGAGGTCCAGGAATTTGAGTGAATACAATTAGATCCCCTTTTCCCACTAACCTGTAAGTGGTTTAGCCTTTCCTTAAGCTATGAATGTAGGCAACAGACCATAGTACTGTTAAAATCTGTGGTTCTCATCAGAAGAAATCAGAATTTTCATATTACTAATACATTAAAGTTGTGCAAATAGTTCAATATATTATTTATGTCCACCACTATATCAAAATTATACTAATAATTAGGTAATCATAGATTCAATTATTAAATGTGTTGAAGAAGTGTATATATTACCATGTCACAAGTTTGTTTTACTATATTTTGTGAAATGTTTTTAAATATAGGTTTTCTTTAATCTTAGGTGTTTTGTGCCCTCAATAACTTAATTTAGAAAGAGGGTCTACAGGTTTCACCAGGTGCCAAAGGGGTCTATGGGACAAGTATTCTTAATAACCTCTGCTCACCGGAAATACATTTACTAGCAGAAAATTCTTGTTGAACATCTTAAGATAGAAAAAATTTAGCATCACATCTAGCAGAATGAAATTTGATGAGTCACTGACTGAAAACTTTGTGTGGGCAGCCTTAAGGAAAACTAAAATAAGCAATATCTGAGGCCGCTCTCTTTCTCCTCCCTCTGAGCTAAATACCCTTATTCTGCCTTGTGCTGAAGTTATCCAGTGTGTTCTCAGAAAGCAAGTGGTTTCCTCTCCTTTTCTGGCAGTTCTCAAATGTTGAGAGTTTTGTCTATATTCTATTAAACAAGGTCTGTGCTAAAAGGAAGTGGTAAGTGTATTAATTATCAATGCCTCATTGTAAAATGTGAGAAAAAATAGAGAAGACACTATCTAAAATCTTGAGTCTAGAAACTCAAGTATCTCTACTTACCCGATTTTCAAAAATTCTAGAAAGGGTGAAGTTCACAAATTTCTCCAATTGGGCTACATTTTAGAGCCTAATTTTCAGGTTTCAGGATCTAATAACCCTTCAGGGGTTTCATCAGACCCCGACAAAATTACCTTCCACCTCTACCATACAACCAAAGATATTTTAGGTTTAATTTTTCTCCTCCTCCTTCTAATAGATCACCCAGATCAAAAGGAGCAGGTATCAAGTATGCACAAATGACGCTCAAAACACTTTGCTCAACCACATCCCCATAGGAAACAGCAGTGATAAATTTTTAGTAATAAGTGAAAGTTTGACTAAGCCATACTAATATTTAGGGTTGGTTAACTTCATGCCAGCCACCGCGGTCATACGGTTAACCCAGCATTGAAGTAAACTTAGATTTTGTCCATAATCTAGGCCATTATGTTATAAAAGAAAAAGGTTTAATTGACTCACAGTTCAGCATGACTCAGGAGGTCTCAGGAAACTTAATCGTGGCAGAGGGGGAAGCAAACACATCCTTCTTCCCATGGCAGCAGCAAGAAATGCCTAGCAAAAAAGAGGAAAAACCCCCTATAAAACCATCAGATCTCATGAAAACTATCACAAGAACAGGATGAGGGAAACTGCCCCCATGATCCATTTATTTCCACCTGGTCCCTCCCACAACACGTGGGGATTATGGGAACTACAATTCAAGATGAGATTTGGGTGGGGACACAGCCAAACCCTATTAAGTTGGATTAAGTGTCTTAGTTGATTCCTGCTGTTACAGTAAAATACCATAGACTGGGTAATTTATACGTGGTAGAAATTTATTTTTCATAGTTCTAGAGACTGAGAAGTCTAAGACTGTGGCACCAGCAAATTCACTGGCCGGTGAGGGCTGTGTGGTGCCTTCTCTGTGTCCTCACATGGCACAAGGGCAAAAGGGACAAATTTGCTCCCTCCAGTCCTTTTGTAAGGGCACTAATCCCATCCACCCTCATGGCCTAATCACCTCCTATGGACCCCACCGTTTAATACTATCACCTTGGGGGTTAAGGTTGCACGTATAAATTCAAACACACATTCCAACCACAGCACGAGGGAAATGAAGTCATCTCCTTTGCTGAATTTGAACATAATAAAAATCACAAGAAATGTTTCTTCTTACCTGTGAAAGACTCTCTGAAAGACGTGTGGACCAGTATTCCAAAGTCCAGATGTTTTCCAAAGCTTAATGTATCTGTATATGTCTTCAATATAATTTAGTTGATCCCATTTCATGTTCCTTTTCATAGATTTGGATATACGAATTGACATATATTCACTCCTGGTGAGGCTAGCAGCATATGATATAAAATATCACAAAATAGCAAATGGTTAAGCCAAGTTCTTTTTTCTTTCTCCATTCCTCTATAATCTAGGGCACCCAGTTGATGGGGCAAAAGGAAAATTTTAAGATGAAGTTTTAAGTTGAAATTGGATAGGTTAAAAAAAAATGTATTCACATTTTTCTGCCTACCTCAAGGGAAATGTACTAACTGAGGATCACATTGAAATGGAGGTGTGTTCAGACACTTCCTGAGTTTTTATATTTAACTTCCTTTAGACTCAGAGCAAGAACACAGGGAGCCCACCTCCATTTCACATCCTGTTAGCACATTTCATAGGGAAGGGAAGAGATGATTGAATAGTTAGAATCTGTACAATTCTAATTATGTGGGATGCTGAAATAAGATTAGCAAGAATTGAAATGCTGAAAAGCAAACAATATCCACAGAAATGGGGTTAAGGAAAGTCTTGGCATTATTTAAGAGTATACATCTCTTTCTAACTAGCATATTATAAAAAGAATATTTAAGTTTAGTACATACTACAGAGCAAACTGAGGCTGTCTCTCTTTGGTTAAGGTATAGATCTTTAACCTTTTTTGAACTGAAGAACTTCAAGGGTGAAAAACAAGCACCCCTGAAGTGTGAGGGTTCACACATGTTCTAGTATAATGAGCAATTAGTAACTGCAATGTCATCTGTAGGAGAAACATGTCACTATTCCATTTAGACATGTTCAGGGCCCCTCTGCTTGCAGATCACCTCACTTTGAAGTGTTAAATACATCCAGTATTAACATATGATAAAGGAAAACATGGATTAGATAAACCCAAACGTTTTAATAGATATATAAACACCGATGTGAACGGTATCATCTTTGAACAATACAATTAATATGACTGACTTCTATAAAAAATTTATTCACTTGGCTCTTTGACACAGTACCTGCTTTTACCCTCTCCAAATATTATTGAACTGCCAAGTTGTATTTGGCTAAAAGCTTTGGGCTATTTAAATGAAATTACACTTAAAAGTACTTACAAGGTCAGAGGACATCTTCTCAGATTTTGGCAAGATCTTTGTCATTTGTTCAATTAAGTCACTGATGATCTGAAAGTAATTCTTGTGCTGGGGAGAGAAAGTTACATAATGTCCATCTATGTGACAAGCATCTGAATGGGTATTCACTGTGTCTGAGAATCTAGAAAGTCAAAGTTATGATGAATGCAGGGCTTGCCTGGGGAGATGGGGGTGGTGGCTTAAGAATTCAACAACTTTAGGTTAGCTGAATCCACAGGTATATCAGATATTAAAATAACACAGTACTCTCAGCTTTCACAAGAGCAGAGTCAGGACTGGACTCAGTGGCTCATGCCTGTAATTCCAGAAATTTGGGAGGCCAAGGTGGGTAAATCACTTAAGGCCTCTAGTTTGAGACCAGTCTGGCCAACAGAGGGAAAGCCCGTCTCTAGTAAAAAATACAAGAATTTAGTCGGGTGTGGTGGAACAGGCCTGTAATCCTAGCTACTTGGGAGGCTGAGGCAGGAGAATCACTTGAACCCGGGAGGTAGAGGTTGCAGTGAGCCAAGACTGTGCTATTGCACTCCAGCCTGGGTGACACAGTGGGACTCTGTTTCAAGAAAAAGAAAAAAAGAAAGTCGAATTGAATCTGAGAGTTGATGCCTTCTTATATTTTGCATGTTGGTTGCTTGCTTGCTGCACCCAGCCCTGCAGGAATTTTAAGTGTTTTGATACTTTCAGTCACATTTGATGTTAGGGTGGATATGATACAGGAAGGCAGTATTTTCCTAAGTGTAGCTTAAGGTCCACTGAAATCAGGAGTATCTGAAAAACCTGGAAAAACTGGGATTTCTATACTCTCTCTTTTAATCAGAGAATGAGGCTTGACAATCTGCGTTTATACCATGTATTCTGGGTGATTCCAATGCATTTTAGAGTAGACCTTCCAGTATTTTCTGTATAATTGGATGATTGATTGAGCGAATCAACGGAATGTAAGTGGAGACTTAGGCAGTTGTTTAAAAATGATCTTGTACTGGTCGGGTGCGGTGGCTCACACCTGTAATCCCAGCACTTTGGGAGGCCGAGGCAGGCAGATCACAAGGTCAGGAGATCAAGACTATCCTGGCTCACATGGTGAAATCCCATCTCCACTAAAAATACAAAAAATTAGCTGGGCGTGGTGGCGGGCACCTGTGGTCCCAGCTACTCGGGAGGCTGAGGCAGGAGGACGTCATGAACCCAGGAGACAGAGCTTGCAGTGAGCCGAGATCGCGCCACTGCACTCCAGCCTAGGCAACAGAGAGAGACTCCGTCACACACAAACACACACACACACACACACACACACACACACACACACAAAATAAAATAAAATAAAAATAAAAATAAATAAATAAATAAATAATCTTGTACTCCACATTTTTCCTGAACTAAAAAAGAAATTAACTGGAAAGAAGAATATCTGTATATGAATTTACTCATTTATGTAACTTACCATGTTGCTTTTTCTAACAGAATATATTCTAATAACTTCAAATAATTTTATATAGAAACATTGAATTTATTCTGAAGTATTTAATGGTAGGTAACTGCAAATACTATTTTCATAGGCAGGTAAAAACAAATAATTGAGTTTCTTAAACTTTTCTGAATTTACATTTCTTAATTTTTGGTCCCTAATATTTTACCAAACCATTCATCCAGAATGATACTACATTAGCACAATATATACTCTTAAAACAGAATATCTTTAAAGATGTCCCCTAAAACAGGAGCAAAAATAAAATACAAGTTTTATACTATTCCACAGAAAACACGGGATTCTGATATTCCCTTGAGGGAAAGGTTATCTTTTCAAAGGTTATCTTTCGAATCAACCTAAACAGAAGACATACTTCTATTTACGAAGCTGGAAGAAGGATAAGAACTGCCATTAGACTTCTAATTGTAGAAACACCTAAATCTGCAGTTTACAGGTTGTCCTGTTTCTGCTACGAAAGGATGTTTTATGCTTTTCAGTCTTGAATTCATGTTATTTCTTATGTAATATACAACTCTCTTGGGTCCAGCAAAGCCTTACTTGATAGATACTCTGTTATCCCATTTATTGCAGCAATGATTATGATATGAAGACGTATTTTGGTGCTAACAAAATCATATCGTAGGCTCAATAGCTAAAGAGGCAGAACGGAATGGCCCACCACGGTACAGTTTTTGAGAAAATATTGCAGTAGAATCATCAGCGAGGGAAAAAGTGATTGTTTATGTGTTAGTTGAACATCAATTATAGTACTTTGGGGGATTATTGAATGGTGTTTTGGAATTTGAGAGTTTTATGAATATGGCAAAAGCTTTTTTGCCTCTTCTAGGAACAAAAAACCTACTTTCAGTTTTTTTAGGTTCAGATTCTAAGGGTACAGATTCTAGGGTACAGATTCTAAGAAAGGATGAATATTCTGTCTTTCATACCCAATTACGAGCACCAAGTCTCAGTCTCACAATATTTGACTCTTTCCCTACAAGTAAAATGAGAAGACAAATGAGGTTATCAATACCTAGACTGATGTGATCAAGAAAGTGGAGATTGCGGACCGGGTGCAGTGGCTCACAACTGTAATCCCAGCACTTTGGGAGGCCGAGGCGGGTAGATCACGAGGTCAGGAGATCGAGACCATCCTGGCTAACACAGTGAAACTCCATCTCTAGTAAAAAATACAAAAAACTAGCTGGGCATGGTGGCGGGCGCCTGTAGTCTCAGCTACTCAGGAGGCTGAGGCAGGAGCATTGCTTGAACCTGGGAGGCGGAGGTTGCAGTGAGTCGAGATCATGCCATTGTACTCCAGCCTAGGTGACAGAGCAAGACTCGGTCTCACAAAAAAAAAAAAAAAGTAGAGAATGCCAACACGATAAACCACAAACAATGGAAATATGAGTTTAATGTACACAAGAAATAAGGAAATATTATGGGGAACATTAATAAAATAGGCTTCTGATTCTTTTAGGGTATTCCTCTAGCTAGCCTCTTTAGTAAAGGTTAAAATATGAAACAATGTTTTCCAAAGTGATGCCTTGGACAATTTGTACAAAAATCAGTTAGAGAACTTGTTTAAAGTAATTTCATCAGAAATACATTCCTGTCTCTCAACTCTGCTCTATTATGTTGGCATCATCTTCAGGCAGGTTCTCTTTTGAGATATTTATAGGCAGCTCCAAGTTTCCAGGCTCCTCACAGCTAGCAAAACATGAGCTCTTCTGTTCCAGACTTTACTAAGATTATATCCTACTGGCTTGTGTCACATTGCTGATTCCTGAACCAGTCATTGTGGAAACATGAAATAGGCTGTTTGACCAGTCCTGGGTCATTTGCCCAACCATGGTGACAAAACGTCTGTTGAGTCCCATTTAAACCTTAGGAACTAAGAATATAGGCCGGGTGGTTGCCCTTTGAAATCAAGCTATAGCTACCAACAAATGAAATAAAAGGTACCAGCCTGACAAAAACCAAGCCTTCTATGGGATACTTTATATATGCTCATGTATTTATTGTATAAATGAAAGTAAAGCTCCCAGGAAGGACTCTTAAAATTCTTCATGGCTCTCATCATTTTTGTCCTTGCTCTGTCTTTCTTTATCTCATATATTTCTACACCAGACTGACTCTCATTCTTTTCCCTACATAGCTTAGTCTTCCTGCCATCTTCCCATAGAATAACGATGGTTTCCTGGAAAGCAGACTAAGAACATACAACAAACTGTTAAGGGTGTCATGTGAGTTTGCAATTGAATTCAGCTACTAAAGCAGACACCTGCAATAACAATTGCTTGAGCAAGGTAAAGTTTTACTTTTTTTTAAATTAAGAAAATCCAGAAGAGCTAGGCAGACCAAAGCTGGCATAGAAAATTCCCAATATTCTCACCCCCGGCCCCTTCCATCTTCCTATCCCACCATCATTAACACATGATTTTCGTTTTCAAGTTTGAATTCCTAAACTCAACCAAAGAAAAGCAGATGCAGCTCCAGCTATCATGTCACCATCAAGGAAGAAACAGAAGAGCGGGAGGATAAACAGGAAACATCTCTGTGCCAAGTTGATTCCTTTATAAAATTTTCCTGGAGTCCTTATCAAATGACTTCTGCTTACATTGCATTCGTGATTTTTATTTGCAGAAGAAGTTGGGACTTGCCGTTTTGTTTTGTGTAGATCATGCTACTTCCCTACCCCATTTCCACAATTCAAGCAACAGTTAGGAAGAAGTTGAGGACAACAACTGTTACTAAGGAAGAAATGGAGAAATGGACAACTTTTATTTTACCACAGTGGTGATATTAGTGATATTAGTGATGGAATTATGGAAGACCTCTCCCATATTATATATTTCTGCAATGTTTGAATTTTCACAGTATTTTGATAAACATGAAGACAAAGACAGGGAATCTGTTGAATATAATGTAGGTTATATCTACAACAGGGGTGTCACAATACTGGAATACAGACTTATATCATCACATGTTGACCATATGTTGACTATTCTTCCATTATTCCCTTTTTATCTATTCTTATTGCCTTCTCTCATACCCACTAACAAACATATTTAAGCTCAATTCTTTCATTATTCGTTATTGTGACCAGTATATAACAAACATCTGACTATCATTATTTAGAGGTGATGCATGAAGGTTAAAAAATGGTGTGTAGGCAAAAAGCACAAGTTTTCAAATCAGTAAACATATTAATATTGATTAACATACTGTGCTACTCTAGCAGGTCACTTTACCATTCTGCTCCTCAGACACATCCCTTCTAAAAATAAAGGGGGTATTCTGTATCACCAATTGGACAGTGTTTTTTTCAATTTAAATCTATCACAGTCCCCAAGGAAAGCTAGTAATATGTGGATTCTAGAGCCACATCATCAAAAACTTTCATCCAGTAGTCTGCAGTGAGCTAATGAATCTGCAATTTTGCCAAGCACCGGCAGGTGATTTTTGAGAAAGGTATCAGAGGATTATATCTTGAAAACACTACTAAGATATCTTTATTTCTTTCAACTTAATGAGACACACTGAATTTGTCTTTTTGTTTGTGTGTTTTGGTTTTTTGCAA